TTGTGCTGCAAAGTATTATCAGGTTAATGTGTGTTATAGACAATTTGCTTTTTAAATCTTGCCATGTGTGAGTTCCCTCAGCTTAAGCAATTACTGCAGCTAACGGTCTGTTGAGTCATAATTCTCAGTCTGCAGGCGTTAAGACAATCTGCTGGAAAGTCAGGGGCAAAGTTTATTTCAAGCTAGAAAACCGCTGAAAGCTACTGTATGAAAGCGATAAAGCAAAATTGTTTTATTCTTGAATTTACCTGGCAAGTACAGCAAAGCAAAGAGTTATCTCTATCACCAATATGTTGAAATACTATAGGCGGTTCTACTTCATTAACAGATTGATTATACTCTTATATACAACAAAAAGCCTTTTCCAGAAAGGACTTCTATTCTTAAAGTTTTCATTTCCTGGAATTAAGTGCGCAAATGCCAGTGGATATCAAGAAACGTTTTAGAAGGTGTTGCAACTTTCTGGCCACCACCATCCTTGTCCCCTGTGATGTGATGACTCGCATCATGTCACATTCCCAACTTCCAGGCATAGATTCCAGGTCACATCAAGTCCACTGGCCCTTTAGATCTATTGTGCGTCCAGGGACAGTCATCTATTCCAAACTCCATGTAACCACATCACAACACATTCAATTACATGCAGACTACCGCTTACAGATGTGGCCGCTGTCACCCAGTCATTAACTTGAATGGGTGACAATGGCAACATCTAAAAACAGGAGATTTGGGATTCCTGGGGCAGGAATCCCAAAATGTATAGTGCGAATGTACCCTAGGAGCATCTGGTACAATGACTGCATCTCTGATAAGGATGTAAAAGTGAATTGCTATTCTTCTACCAATATGGCCAGCTTCACACAGAAACGCATTGTAGAATAAGGCATGGTAAGTCAGTTATATGAAAAATAAGATTAGCTGCATGGAGAATAGAGATAATACCTGTCTTTTTTGGGTACAGCTTCCACAGTTTAGGTCATCTTTAAAGTGAAACTCCAACCAAAAACTCAGTCACAGGATCTAAATTAAGTTATGCAATGAAAAGAAAAAAAAAAAAGGTAATATTTACAAATTGTCTTAGTACCTCTGTAACCTACAGTAGGTTTGATCACAGCCACTTCTGTTGCCAACTAGGCCCAAAATCAACTTCAAATCTTGCAAGTGGAACTTAAATGTAAGCCTGAAGTTAACTTTTGAAGAGCACTCTACATCACAGCCAAACTGGCCATCGACACTTAAGCCCCCAACAAGACTTAAGTCGTCACAGAGATCAAACGCTTGCTACACAAGCTGAGGGCTATGGGCATAGATGAGGTGGTGTGTACGTGGATAGAGAACTGGCTACGGAAACGTGTCCAGAGGGTATCTGTAAATGGCACCTTTTCAGACTGGGCTAGTGTAATGAGTGGTGTGGGTTCTGTGCTGGGTCCCATATTGTTCAACTTATTTATTAATGACATCAGGGAGGGTGTTAACAGCGATATTTCCGTGTTTGCGGATGACACCAAAATAGGGAGGGTAATAGACACGGACTTAGACACTATAACATTACAGGAGGACCTGGATAAAATAGGGGAGTGGGCATTAATGTGGCAGATGAGGTTTAATGTCGATAAATGCAAAGTAATGCACTTTGGAATTAAAAATAAACAAATGGGTTATACAATTATGGGTATGCCGCTGGGGAAGTCAGAAATGGAGAAGGATTTGGGGGTCATTGTAGACCACAAACTGAAAGGTAGTTTGCAGTGCCAGGCTGCTGTAAACAAAGCTAGCAGGGTCTTGTCCTGTATTAAAAAGGGGATGTATTGCAGGGACAAGTCTATAATTTTGCCACTTTATAGATCATTGGTTCGACCTCATCTGGAGTACGCGGTCCAGTTCTGGTCACCAGTACTAAGAAAAGATGTCCTTGAGTTGGAAAAAGTCCAGCGAAGGGCAACCAAACTAATTAGGGGTATGGAGGACCAGAGCTACGAGACGAGGCTACTAAATTTAAACATGTTCACATTAGAGGTGAGGAGATTAAGGGGGGATATGATTTCCATGTACAAAATGTTTAATGGTGGTAGCAACATTAGCGATAAACTGTTTAAAATTAACTCCGTTACAAAAACTAGAGGCCATCACCTAAAATTGGTGGAAAAAAAATTCCAGCACAAGGGGCGAAGGGGGTTCTTCACAGTAAGATCAGTTAGGGTCTGGAACTCACTGCCACAGGCCTTGATTTCAGCAAATAATGTGGAATTGTTCAAGAAACTTTTGGGCGATTTCTTAAGGGACCGAAATATACAGGGGTACAGGTACTCCTAGAATGAGATCCTAATAGGTTGGACTTGATGGACTAATGTCTTTATTCAACCTCAAATACCATGTAACTATGTAAATGCAAAGCTGAAGGTTACTTGTGAAGAGCACCTGATGGCCTTCATCATATGTGAGAGACTTAAAGTGACATTAAACCCTCAGATTGTTTAACATAAAACAATACTGTAATGTGTGCCTTACTGTAATCCATGGTAGTTTCCCTTCTCTTTGCTGCTCTTCCTTTTAAATCTGTATCTGTTCTCATGCTGGGCAGAACTTCTGTTTTGCAGCAGACTGCCTTGTCTCTGGAATGGATACACGGTGTATAGGCTTGCAACCTGAGCCAGCACTACAGGAAGAGGCACCCAGCTGCAATGGGAAGTTCTCCCCAAGCATGAGAAGACATGAGGATTTAAAAGGAAGAGCAGCAAAGAGAAGGGCAACAACCATGGATTATAGTAAGGCACACATTACAGTATTGGTTTATGTTAAACAATCTGAGGGTTTAATGTCACCTTAAGCCCTCACATAGACTTTGATCGCTACCAGGACAAGCTGGCCACTGACAATTAAGCCCCCAGGGAGATGTAAGCCCTCACAAAGACTTAGAGCCATAACAGGACAACCTGGCCACAAACACTGAAGCCCCCAACGAGACGCAACTCTCAGGGATTATTTTGAAGCTCTTTGCACTGTAGTTAAACTTCAGGCTCTCACAGTGGGCATGGCTACTGCCCTAAGCAAGGCTCCATGGGTATCATCACAAGAGTCTGAAGTTTCTGAGGACACCTTCTGTTCCACTACAGCCACAGCAGGCAAGCAGCTATGCACTCCGTGCTGCCTGCGCTGTAGACTGTGTAGACTGTCTGAACTTGTATTTTTGGCCCCAAATTCCCCATAGAGGTGGGCTTAGATCCCCTCTAACCACCTACCAAGATTCACTAGCACAATGGGGATTGGAGTTATGCTGCCTCAAAATCACCCAACCGCAAATTCTTACTGACCTTTTATACATTACTAACCCTGTACTTGCTTTTCCATCTTTATTAAAGGAGCTTGAATTTGTTGGCTGTCTTAGTAACTTAAAAGGTTAATACCTCTAAACCCCAGGCCTTAGACATAGTCTTTGTCCAAGTCTGAATTAACTTTACTTCAAGCATCCTTTGCTTTTTGATGGGTTGCAACCTCGATTAAATACCTGGGGGTACATATCCCAGCTATAGTGGACAGAGTTTATGATTTAAATTACGCACGGCTCCTATCCTCCACCAAAGCCCATCTCTGTGTCTGGTCCACGACACCCGTATTAGGCAACACAGGATTCATTCTGGGACACCTTCACCACTTTTATGTGGCCTTACCTCGGTGGACTTTGACTTCCTTGGAGGGCTCTTACCCTGGGAAGTGGCTACAATACTTCCAACTGAGGCATTGCTACTCCCTTTAATCGACATCTGGCTTGCTCACGAGACCCTCCACCCATGTTGAAGATTTTTGTCTGGTCTTTTATGATCTCTTGACTGTACAATATTCTTTTGTCACATGCGTTCCCTATCTGCACTTTTTTCACAAGGGATTGTGAGAGCGAGCTGGACCAACCTATTGAGGACCTAGACTGGGATAAGGCTCCTTATCTGACCTTTAAAGCTAGCGTAGATTGCCAGACTTTGGAACGTGATTATAAAATTATTTCTAGGTGGTACCGCTGTCTGGTTACTATAGGTAGGTAAGCTGCTTTGACACCTGCCAGATGCTGGCAGTGTGGTGATAGGGGAGTGGGACTGCTGTCTACTGAACTCTTTTTGGCACACTCTTTTTCAGATTTTTTTCTGCAATTACAAGATGCCGCTTCCTTGACACTTGCTGTCAATTTTCCCAGGTTCTCCAGTGGTGGTGAAGCGAGGGCTACTTAGATTTTTTCTCTCCACGGGTCGTGCTGATACCTAGGCTTTGGAAGACTTCTCCGACTTTCTATTACGGGTGGGATTGAAGTTAGTTATATATTGACCCTGGAGGAAATCTCTGCTAGACTGGTGGTTAACTATACCACCTTTATTAGCAGGCGGAGTGCCTGGATCAGATTCAGTTGTACTCTGCATGTACTCACCTGTTTTAGTTGTTCTGCGTACACGGGGTCCCTTGTGACCACCCCCCCGGAGAGTCCGGACTTGATTAGTCCATTTTCTTTTAATTCCTCTTCTCTTATCTCTTTGTTTCTGGTAACTCTCTCGATTTCTCACTTTGTTCTTCACTTTCCTCTATTAGTTTTCCACTGGTTGCCGTCAGTTGGCAACCTGGAATAACTCCTTGGTCTCGCGTTAAAAGTGACTCACATGGGTCGGGTATGGGTTCTAAATGAAAAGCTAAATGATTGAAAAGCCGGATGGGCTTTGTGCTGCTTTGCTCACATTTTCCAATATAATTGTTTTGATTATACTATATATTCAGGCCTGTGAATGTCTCTGGGTCCCAGGGGGACCACTATTATCTAGGTTGTTCTTAAAGTTATTGCTAACTGTTAAATTTATTTTTGCTCTCTATTTGTTTTACTTGAAAATCAAATAAAATTTATTCTTTAAAGAAAATATTAATAACGGCTCTAACACGCTGGGAAAATCCACAAGTGTTGACAGTACAGCATAAGGAGTAGTTTTTTTAGTTGATCCTTGTTAAAACAATATGATCACACTTGCTGAAATCCAAAATAATATTTAATAAGTCAATAGAAAAACAGTCCACAAATTAAATATTGTTGTTCAAATCACTGTTGACAACCTTCTCAGTATATAAGCATCTTATAATATCAAAAATGTTTTTCTCCAATAGATTTCAACACACTTCTGATACACCTTTGAAGTAAAGATACTTTCTAAAAAGTAATTTGCACCATGATGCAGTAATGTGTAGTACACACCGCAATGCATATGAGTTTCTTGCTGCAGCAGCAAGTATGACAGCAGGAACTCAGTCTTTAGGCCAGATGTGCAATAATTAAGATAGCTTAAGTCCTTGAAGATTTTGTCTCAAGTTCAGCTGTTCCTTTTCCTGTCTGCTCTTTTCTACTTTGAAAGCAAGTTTATTGGATTTCTTCTCCATTCTTCGGTCCTGGAATAAAACATCAAGTGTACCATTAAGCATGAATTCAACACATATTTGGAAAATGGCATTCTGATTCTGAAGTTTAGATGTTTGGGCCCTAGTAAGGCACTAAAATCTGTGGAACTCCTGCTTGGTGCCATCACAGGTTTTAACCTATTGAGCACCAACATCTTAGGAATCTCAGTAGTTAATGCCAAACAAAAACATCCATCAGTTAACAACAGCAAACGCTAAAATATCAGCATATTTATTCTATTAAAAGTACACAATCCGAATTGGGTAAGGGATTGGACATCTATCGATTGTTTTGCGATCTGGGGGAGATTTCCACTCACTTCCATTTTAGCTGCAGTTGGGCTTTAAAATAAAAAGTTAAATGGAAATCATTGGAAAAGATATTACTTCAAGCTCACTGTGTTTTATAGAAATTTTTATTAGGGATGCACCGAATTTTCGGCAGCTGAACATTTTTGCCCGAAAATGGTACTTTAAGCAAAATGGCGAAAATGCAGTGCATCACTAGTTTCTCTCCTCCCCGCTGGGCATTGCTCTGTGTACCCTCTGTATCCCCTCAGAGGCAGCGGGGATTGGTGGGGACGCAGCGCCCAGTGGGAAGGAGATACATTTTCAGGAAGCCGTTGCAGCTGGGAGGAGAGCGCTGTTAGCTGTCACAGGAGGCCAAGCTCTACTCTCGCACCGCCCTACTCAACCTCCTGTGACAAGCAAATCAGGATGGAGAGCGGGTAGTACAAGCAGTCATCGATCAGCTGATCGTTGAGTGTTTGTAAATAACTAAGGACATAGTATGCTTACGGTGTCCCCAGTTATGAATGAACAGGAGGTGCTCTACATCACTTCCTGTTCATTCATGATTGTGGACATACTGTAGTAACTCACACTTATCTCCACAGTTTATGAATGGAAAAGAGCACTCAGTATAGAGGCTTCCTGTTCATTTATAACAGGGGCTGCAGAATAAGAGATTGAATACTCTGTGTCCTCAATCTCTTTTTTTTATTTTAAAAGGGAAATATAAATAGAACCCTGATATTTCCCCAAAGCTCCCAATAGTACAGTAAAAAAAAACAAAAAAAACAGAGCCCTGATATTTCCCTTTTGAAATAGAAAAAGAGATTGAGGATACAGAGTCCTAAATATCTTTTACTGCAGCCCCTGTTATGAATGAACAGGAAAGCATCTATCCATTCATAAACTGTGGAGATAGTGTTAGTTACTATATCCACAATCATGAATGAACAGGAAGTGATGTACAGCACTAACCTCCTTAGCCTTTGCCCTCATTTATCCCCAAAGGTGTGTGTGTGTGTGTGTGTGTGTAAAATATTTACATAAAAAGCTAAAAAAAAAAATTAAAAAGCACGTACTCTTTCTTGGCACATGGAAAAACAAACATTCTGACACAAGCAGTTAAATATAAACCGATAGGTGGGCTTCACTGAACTTCAAAGTGGCATTGATTATTTACACAATAAGCAAGCGGCTGTGTGTCAGAGCGGAAAAAGACATTAGCCATATGACAGATGCTGGAAGGGAAATGTAAGGACCCCTGACTATGCAACCTTGACTTAACCCCACCAGGTGAGTCTAGGTTCTTCTGCTTTAAATCTTTTAAATGTTTTTTTGTTGTTGTTATAAAAACAGATCTGCTTTTCTTCATTTCCAAGAATAAACGTATGGTTATACAAGACGACAATAAATGAGGAGTGAAGTTTATATATGTTTGAGTTCTTGTGTTAATTGGTAGTGAACAGGAGAAAAAGGAATGTAAATCTTGTACATAGTACATACCGGAAGGGAAAAGAAAACAGCTCACCTTTCTTTCTTCTTTTATAGCTTGTTTCCTGGCCTTCCTTTCTTCAGCGGATTCATCTTTAGAACGTTGCTGTGTAGAAACTCTGGGCAAATCTCCATCATTAATCCTTTCCATGCGCTCCACTTGTTTGGCTGTAAGCCCCTTTCCAGGCAGAACACCCAGTGGAATGCCAGTTTTGGCAGATACCTTAATTGGCTTAGTCTAAAAGAACAAACACCAGTTAACACCTTCATACAACATTCATTTTAAGCCTCTCACACATTTGAATACAAACATTTCCAATTCTATTACTTTGCTGCCACATATTTTGATCTGGAGTTGTGGGGTTCCTCCTCAGCACTTTTGTGGCAGAATAATGCAGCAACTCTATTAATTTCAAATGTGAATATTTTTGAGATGCATTTCATACAATTAAGGAAACCGGCAGGAGAAACGTCACATTCTGAATGTATATCAGAAGACTTAAAAAGGTAAGTGAAATGTTACCAGCATCCTATCCCTTCAACCTTCACTAAAAACAAAATCAATGTATTTGGGGGAATTCATTTTTAGACTGTGAAATTACCAAAATGCATTGCTACTAAGAAAATAACATACCTTTGGTGGGTCTTTGATTATCTGAGGATGATTATATAAGTTTGAATATGTGCCTGTCAAAAGTAAAGAAGAAAAACTGAAAGGTAATTCAACATTGAATGAAAAGGAGCAGTGTATGGTTAGTGGTGACAAAAAACATGCCTCTTTTTATAATCATACTTGTTATCATAGTCTGTAGGTTAAATGGTCTGCACTGCTGCCCTTGTTTCTTGCCATATTGCCAAAAGTGGGGCAGAGGGAAAAGGTCACTTACTTGATGAAAGCTCTCTTTACCTCCACAGCCCTATTTGTGTGCATGTCAATCACTACATTTTCTGAGTGCAGTTTTACATGTGGCTGGGACTATGAGCCTGGGAAGAGGGAGTCAACCAATAACTGTAAACTACAGGCACATTAAGTCATTAAGATCTGAAGCACCCTGTTGTCAAGGGAGAAGGCAGAAAGAGCAGCAGCACTCCAACTGTAGTAAAACTACAAGCCCCATGAGGCATTGAAAAGTTCTGGCAGCTACAGGTATGACTGCCAGAGACAAAGGCATGATGAGATTTGTAGTATCACAACAGCTGGAGTGCTGAGGTTTCCTACCCCTACAACAGTCTATATACACTATATTGCCAAAAGTATTGGGACGCCTTTACACGCACATGAACTTTAATTGCATCCCAGTCTTAGTCCGTAGGGTTCTATATTGAGTTGGCCCACCGTTTGCTGCTATAACAGCTTCAACTCTTCTGGGAAGACTGTCCACAAGATTTAGGAGTGTGTCTATGGGAATGTTTGACCATTCTTCCAGAAGCGCATTTGTGAGGTCAGGTACTGATGTTGGACGAGAAGGCCTGGCTCGCAGTCTCCGCTCTAATTCATCCCAAAGGTGTTCTATCGGGTTAAGGTCAGGACTCTGTGCAGGCCAGTCAAGTTCTTCAACCCCAAACTTGCTCATCCATGTCTTTATGGACCTTGCTTTGTGCACTGGTGCACAGTCATGTTGGAACAGGAAGGGGCCATCCCCAAACTGTTCCCACAAAGTGGGGAGCATGAAATTGTCCAAAATGTCTTGGTATGCTGATGCCTTAAGAGTTCCCTTCACTGGAACTAAGGGGCCAAGCCCAACCCCTGAAAAACAACCCCACACCATAATCCCCCCTCCACCAAACTTTACACTTGGCACAATGCAGTCAGGAAAGTACCGTTCTCCTGGCAAATGCCAAACCCAGACACGTCGATCGGATTGCCAGACAGAGAAGCGTGATTCGTCACTCCAGAGAACACTTCTCTAGAGTCCAGTGACTGTGTGCTTTACACCACTGCATCCGACGCTTTGCATTGTACTCGGATGTAAGGCTTGGATGCAGCTGCTCAGCCATGGAAACCCATTCTAGATGCCCACTTCATTGATTCCTAGATGCCCAGGTCAGCATGTGGTGGCTAACTTAAAAGTAACTCATTTACTAATTTGCATACCTAAAGATTTATACATACATTTTTAAAGGACATTTAAGGCTTTTATTTGGTACAATTTAAAAAAAAAAATCTAATATTTTTGAATAACAACTATTGTATATATCGGACAGTTACACAATTACATAGATGGCACTGCAGATGAACACTGCAACTTAAGGTGACAGTGTCTACCTGCAGGCTGAAGGCTTTCAATTTTATCAATGAGGCCACCAGGCAAAATGTGATCACGAAGTTAGAGCTGACATACTGATTATATGATTGGGAGAAACTGAGTGGTTCCCGAATGTCAGTTGGGACTCTGGCTGTCATTAACATCCAAGATTGTTCAGTTGCAAAGTCTAACATGAGGCTAATGATGTCCAACTCATGCAATTTTAATGAACTTACTGAGTATTGATTCACAGTCCCACTTTTCAGTAGGCGCTTCTATAACTATAGTTTCCATTTCTTCTTTTTCTTCTTCATCTTCTTCAATCAAATCCAAACCTTTTGTGGGTTTCAAATCTTTTAACTTGACACATCTGCAGAGAGAGCAGGAAGATGCAAACAAATGAAACATAGCCGTAAGTCTACAAAATGCAGGATTGTTGCCACAAAATTAAAACATTTTCAGTTTCAAGTATGAAATAAACTTCTTCACAATGTGTCAAATGGCAGTACAGCCACTTGCATCAGCCGCAACCCAGAACGGATATAAGAGCGTGGCTTGGCAGAAGGGGCTGTACTAACCACAAACTGGACTTTTCTATACAAAGAGCATATTCATGAAATGTCATGTAACATTTTACACATGCTTGAGTGTCTCTCTACTATATCTATAGCAGCCCTGTGTAGGGGACATTTCATATGTGCTTGGCAGTGACTCTCCACATGCATAGTAGCCCTGTGTAGTGAAAGTCTAGGTCCAGCACTTTGATCTGTTACAGACATGGATGGTTCTATTTAATGACCTTAGATGTAATAGACCACTGTGGAAAAGTAAGTACACCACTGGCGTCAAAAGCCTGCATTGCACCCTGTGGCAGAAATGACTTCATGTAGGCATTTTGTATAACTGCCCATTAGACTATGACAGCAGTGTACAAACTCCGGCCCTCCAGCTGTGGTGGAACTACAAATCCCATGAGGCATTGCAAGATTCTCACAGCCACAGACATGACTCCCGGAGAGAGATGCATCATGGGATTTGTAGTTTCACCACAGCTGGCGGGCCGGAGTTTGGACACCCCTGGACTATGACATCAACTAATGATCATGGAACATTGACCACTCTTAAATACAAATTCCTTCAGCTGCAAGATGTTTGTGCGTTTCCTTGCATGAACGGCCAATATCAAAACCCCCCTACAAAATTTTAAAGGGAATCAAATCAGGGCTTTTACTAGGACAGTCCATAACCCTCTATTACTTCTTCTTGAGGCTTGGTGGATTTGCTAGTGTGCTTTTGGATCATCATCATGAGGAAAGACTAATTTCCAGTTCAACTTCAACTTTTAGACAGATGACAAAAATGTTAAATGTCTACTGTTACTGTGACCACCCTGTCCTGAAAAAAATTGGCAGTTGTTTGAAAATGTCTACGCCACTTGTAGTTTGTTTTCAATCCAATTGGCGATTTAAATCCATAGCCAGACTCCTAAGCATTCAAAGCTTTGTTTCTGAGGACCTCCATTGATCTTGACATGAGACCACACACATCAATAGCAAATAGAACACCTGCCCATGGATGTCTGAGGTTTAAATAAGACAGGTTCCACCCGCATGTTTCCTAAGGAGGTTCAACAATTTTCATGTGACTGTACATTATGTGGGCCTGACACTTATCCAACAATTTGCACAGCGCTTTACAATATAAGGAAGACATTACAATCACAAAACAAATCAAGACAAGATGGTAAGGAGGGCCCTACCCCTATTAGCCGTGTTGTTGGTGGGGGTCAGAGCTCACTTAAAGGCTGGCTGTAACCTACCTGACTTTGCACTCTCAAAAGATGGGAGAACACTGTTCATAGGCCATCATCAGATTTCAGGGGAGTTCTGACACCCAGATTTCCTCAGCAATGGCTGGTCCCATATTTCTAATTTGACAAAGCACTCCATACAGTCAAAAAAAGATGGCACTTACTCTTTTGCCTTCTGCTTGAAGTAGTCATCTACAACATCTTGAAGTCTAGCACTATTCGCCTGAATGAATCCTTCTAATTCTGCATTATCCAAGGCACCAATCTCATCCTCATCAAACTGCTCATAAAACTAAACAAAACAAAAAAAAAGTTAAAAACATACTATGAAATTTAGTTACACCACAATAGAACTTTTAGTTTTATTTGAATTATTACATACAGGTGCATCAAAACAAACACTTTCAGAGCTTTATAATTTATTTTCTATAGAAAGCAGCCACAACTTGAAATAGTCCTGCCGGAATGCTGAAGAGTGAGACCTTTTACTCTCGGATCTGAAAGCAGTTGTCTCTCTGCAGAGCTCCAATGCACCTCCTGCTGTGTCAGAGCCATCAGCAGGTATCATGAGCTTTGCCGATTGGAGAACTATAGATCTGGCTCAGTTAGAGGGAATGTTGGATGTCTGCAGATAGACCACTGCTTCCCTACAGGGAACAAGCGTCCCACTCTATAGCTGATGGCATTTGTTTTAATGCACTTGGAATGTATTTAGCCGATTTAAAAAAAAAGTTCAATTGTGCTTATAAGATATTATAGCTTTAGTCATCATCTAAGCTTGTCCGATGTCGCACAGAAATTATGTGCTATATTTTAGCCTACTATACTAACAGCCTTTGCAATTAAAAAAGCTGTTAGATTTCTATGAAGGAGTGTTAAAAATAATACACTTGGGTTTTAAAAAGGATGCATTCTTGGTAAAAACATTTTTTTCGTTTGCAAGTGACACCTTAATGGCTTAATGTAGGCTAGATTTAACTAAGATCATGTATAACATACACTCCAATCAAACATGCTGTTTAAATAGATACAAAAGGGAACATAACATGCCTGCCCAGTGCTTCTAATTTTTACCAAAACCACCCCCATCCCCCAAAACATTCTGAACATAGACCATCTAGCTTTAGAAATCCCTATCATTGTTGGCAAGGTGTCTTTGTTCTGCACGTTGTGAATGTGGAGGCCAAGTAATCTGCACACCCATCAGAGTTGCATTGAAAACGCAAGGAGTTTTTATTGCTGTTGGTGTCCCTGTTAGTAGTTTTAATCACTCTTTGTATTTTGGTGACATCCTGTCACACAGACTGTCATGGAAGAACTGGTGCAGGAACACAGCCAGCAATAAAAACCTGATAGAGGTTCGAACCCTTCCTTTCTATAGTAATAATGGGGTTTAATTGCTGTTTGTGCCTCCAGTGGATCAAAGTGCCCTCATTTTCTTCTGCTGAGGACACAGATATTTTCATATTTTTCTAAAAAAAAAAAAAAAAACCCCCACAAGCTTCAGAAAAAAAGTTTTGCTTCTTAAAGTATGGCCACTGTAACCAAGTATGCCCCAAGCAAGAAATAAATAGTTATCACTCTCTCTACGCACAGGTATAGTGAAGGACTGTAATCGGTCTATAATGGTCATTCACTGTTCTTACCTTTTCAAAGCGTTCATCCAGAAGGGTGAGCTGGTCATTTCTTCTCATAACAGAGGAAGATATAGAATATTGTGAGAAGCGACTCTTAGTCTCTTCCTGCATGAACAGAAACTCTTTCATGGGGCCACCCTCGCCTCTGCTCTCATCATCAGACAGAGGGCCATCGGAGTCAAATTCATCATCTTGGCTCTCATCACCATCCTCCTCCTCATCGTCGTCGTCAACATCTTCCCATTCATCATCATCCCCATCATATTGATTTCTACATTTATTAACACAACGACAACTTCAGGGTAAAGAAGTACAATAGACACAAACCTGATACTACAGTAAACTCTCCGTTATCTGGCATCCACGGGGATTGTTAGATTCTGCATAAATGTAGTTTCTGGTTGCTTGAGCGTTACTATTAAAAATAGGTCTAACTAATGCCATACCATCACGTGAACTCTGTATTTAAAATTGAAATGCAGTAATCAAAAGCAAAGAAATAGGCACACGATCGTTTCCAGGATAATACATGCCGCAGATCAGCAGAACAGTGAGTACACAAGGGATTTATTTTTTCTGGTTAGATGAGAGTTTACTGTATGTATGTATGTATGTATGTATGTATGTATGTATGTATGTATGTATGTATGTATGTATGTATGTGTATATATATA